TTTTTTTTTTTTTTTTTACCTTAGATGAAGGTTTACAGAACAAATAGTTTCTCATTAAACAGTTAGTACACATATTGCCCTATGGTTAACAAGCCTACGACATGTCAACACTGTCCCTTCTCAACCTTGGGTTCCCTATCACCAGCTTTCGTGTCCCCTCCTGCCTTCTAGTCCTTGTCCCTGGACTAGTGTGCCTCGTTAGTCCTGTTTTGTTTTATTGGGCTGTCTAATCCCTGGCTGAACGGTGAACCTCGGGAGTGACTTCACCCCTGAGCTAAAAGGGTGTCCAGGGACCATACTCCCGGGGTTTAATCTTGATTCTTATATTCAACAAAAATGTCCTGAAAGCCTGTTCCTGTGGCTGATGGTGTGCTTGGAATAGCAGCTGCAGTGAACATAAGATAGGCATGAGTACTGCTCTCAAGAAGCCTAGCTTCTAGATGGGGAGACAGATGAGAGACACAGGCAAATAAGATCACTGCAGATGGTGATGAGTGTTCTGCTGGCAGTAGGGCGGGCGATGTGGCAGAGCGTGGGTGGGGAAAGGAGGCCTTCAGGGAAGTTCTTTCTGAGATGGTGATATTTAAACTGCGACATGAAGGAAGCAGATCGGGGAGAGCCACCAGGCAGGGGAACAGTTGGTGCAAAGGCCACGAGGTGGGAAAGCACTGGGAACAGAGATGGTTGTAGTTAGAGCCCAGCGAATCGGGAACTGAGATTGTAACACAAGCTGATTGCAAAGCCACATCGTGCAGGGACTCGTAGGCCACGGTCAAGGTTAGATTTTATACTGAAAGTATTAGAAGGCCATTAGAGGCTTTTGTTGTTTGTTTGTAGGGGACTGACAGGACATTTAATAGAGAATGATTTGGCTTCTAGGAGGAGAATGAATTATAACCAGTTGCTGCCATTGAGTCAATTCTAACTCGTGGCAACTTCATGTGTGTCAGAGTAGAACTCTGCTCCATAGCATTTTCAATGACTGATTTTTTGGAAGTAGAGTGCCAGGTCTTTCTTCTGAGGTGCCTCTGGGTGGACTTGAACTTCCCAAACTTTCAGTTAACAACTGATCACATTAACCGTTTGCACCACACAGGGATGCCAAATGAATATATGGAGGAGTGAAAATGGAAGCAGTGAGACCAGTTAGGAGGCTGTTGCAGTTCAGGCAAAAGAAGTTGGTGGCTTGGACAAGGGTGTTGGTGAAAAGAAGTGAGCAGATTTAAGACACTTTTGTAAGATGAACTGACAGGATGTGATGATGCTTTGATTTGGATGTGGATGACAAGAAGTGAAGGATAAAATCTGATGCACCGTTTTCTGGCTTAAGCAGCTGGGTGATGCCATGTACTGAGATGGCCAAGGCTAGGACAGGGACAGGGTTAGGGTCAGGGACTCAGCAGTCCTGTTTGGGTGGGTCAGCATGGGGTGTTGATGAGACACCCAGGTAGAGAGGTCACATCAGCACTTCTGAGTGTCTTGAGTCCTGACCTTCATGAAGAGATTAAGCTGGAGGTAGACATTTGGGAGCTTTGAGTCTGTAGGGGTATTTAAAGCATCTCATCTAGGGAGCGAATGTAGGTTGCAAAGAGAAGAGGGCTCAGGACTGATCCTCTAGAGTTTCAGAGGTCTGGTAGAGAGGGAGGAGCCGTGACTGCACATTGAGAAGGAAAACACCAAGAGAAGGTGGAAGAGTGTGTTTCTAAGAGGGAGAAGTCAAGCACGTGGGAGTTCTTATAAGAGCAGGTCAGAGAAGTGTGTGCTGGGTTTGGCAAAGTGGAGGGGCTCATCTGCTCCAGAATAAGCAGTGTCCATGGCCTGAGGGGCTGAATACTAGATTGTGGCGGGTTGAAGTGGGAGCTGAAGAAATAGACAATTTCTGGATGTGCGTTACAAAAGGGAGCAAAGAAGGGGAGGGGAAGCTTGAGAGTATGTAGTATCAAAGGAACTTTTTGTTACATTCAGTTTTGTAAAGTTTTTGAACAGGCTATTTAGGTGTTTCAAACATCAGAGGTATACAGTGAAGACATGCTCTCACTCCTTCCCCCATCACCCAGCCTCCCCACCATAACAACTTTGGTTACTTTCTTCTGTGTTGTGTTTCTTCTAGAATGCTTCAATGCAGTGTAAGCACGTGCACATATTCTTTTTCCACAAGTCTTTTTTAGAGATAGATTCTAAAGCACGTTTGGTATGTGACTAGGAGTGATCACTAGAGAGGGGAGATTGATGACATAGAAGAAACAGAAGCGTTAACTGAAAGAGCCAAGTCCCGGAGGAGGCATGGGAGGTGGGGTGAGAAGCCTGAGCTGGGGAGAGGGCTTCACCTTTAGGAGGAGGGATGGGTGCAGCTGCGGGTGGGTCGGTTTGAGATTTGGTCTGAAAAGCAGGCATGGCTTCCTGCTGGCTCCTGCTTTCTCACTGAAGTACCGGCCAGGTCGACTGCAGAGCGGAAGAGTGCCATCCCAGCTGGTGGGCTCAGGGGGTCTAGGAGCGCGGCAGCTTCTCGACTGTGGGGCCAGGCAGCTGTTGACGCTCTGCAGGTGCATCACCCTACCCGCCTCGTGTGAAAAATCAGGTGGGGGTGTTGCCCTCGTAGGAATAAGAATGACATTCCTGGAATCGGTGTGTTAAGAATTCTTAGGCAGGCCCTGGTCGTTTTTCCTCTAGACCATGGTGGTTTGCAGTAGACTATTGTTAGCACAACTAATTTACTGGAACCATGTATTTTTTTTAAGATCCGATATTTAACTTCACTGGTTTTTCTGGAAGAAAAGCTTCGGTCTAGTAAAATTTATCTCAGGCATTTTTTTTATTGGGGAAATGAGGAAGCTATTTAAGAACAGAGAGGAATTTTATGAAATTATAGAGTTTTTATGGACTCTTCCCCTGTTAGCTTTGATTTGGGCTGGGGAGAAAACGGTCTGCTCATATTCATGTCAACATTAAGGGGGTCACAGGAATGGGGGGTCCTGGGTACTTGCACTGTGTGTCTTGCCCATCCCCAGTGATGACTCTGAGCACAGCTTTGCACAAGCTGGACTCTGCTCTTTTCTTTCAAGGTCCTGACATTGAGACACATTCTCCCTCTTTCTACAGTTTATTATGATACATCTTTTAGGCTTTAATATCCTGATAGTAGACTTTATGGTGTCCTAAAGCAATTATTTTTTTTCCTCCTCTATTAAAATTTTAGTCATTGGGACTTTTCCACGAATAAAACCTTGCACGTAAGCATTCGTAAATAAATACGCGTATAAATACACAAAATAAATACCAAAAAAACCCCCAAAACACAACAAAACATCTGGAACTGCTTAGATGAAGGCGAGGGCAGTGGCGTGCTGAGACCTGTGCCAGTTCCCCTACACACGCACCCGCCCTCCAGCCCCTGCGTGGACTCTGAGACAGTTCTAGAGTATAGTTTGAAAACTCTAGCTCCAGGGTAGTATTAGGAATTTGCATTTTTTGTAATCTTTTTTGTTTTTTCAAATTGAAGTATAATTTACATACAGTAAACTATCCAGCTTTAAGTTTGGTGAGCTCATGCAGTGCGTAACCACCACCATAGTAAGGGTGAAACCGTTCCACTCCCCTCCCCCAGCCTTCCCTGTGCCCTTTGTAGTCAGTCCCCACCCGCGGCCCTTAGCAACCCTTATCAATTTTCTGTCATTGATTTTGCCTGCTATCCCTATAAAATTGCTTGTGTCATAGAAACGGAACCATAAACGCAGCCTTTTGAGTCGGGCTTCTTCCCTTAGCATACTGCATTTGCCTTTCATCCATGTTGTGTGTGTCAGATGTTTGTTCCTTTTAGGAATTCTGTCTTCTAAGAAGAACACATTTTTCTGCCTGAGGTATATTGAGCTTAAAAACGAATACTTTTTAAAACTAGAATTTTATAGTTGAGTCTATCTTGGGATCCAGCTGGATTTCTGTGCTGTTTTTATTTTGAAACTGATGCTGTCTCCAGTTATCTGTTGAGTATCCTGAAAAAACCCTACAGGGACTGCAGTTTGATGGTGTGTGGTGGTCCCCTTACCTGTGGTTTTTGGTACCGAGTCATCATATCTGGTGTCTATTTTACACTTACAGCACATCTTGAGTCAGACTTGCTGTTGGTTGCAGTTGAGTCGGCCCCTAACTAATGATAACCCCGTAAGTGTTGCGGAGTACAACTGCTCCATCGGCGTTTCTTGGCTGTAATCTTTCTGGAAGCAGTTCACCAAGCCGTTCTTCCACAGCGCCGCTGAGTGGGTTCAAACTGCTGCCAACCTTTAGGTTAGCAGCTTGTGGCCTCCGGGCTCCTCCCTTATCTGCGTTTTTGAGGCAGGAAGTCATGTTGAGCGCCCCGATCCTGCCGTACACCATGGTCTCAATAAAGTAACTGCCAAGAGTGTCTGTTTGTCCAGCCTCTGTGTTTGTATTTCTCTAGGCTCATCAGATTCAAGAAATGTTTCCCCAGGTTCCATACCACCTGGTGCTGCAGGACCTCCAGCTGACACGCTCAGTCGAAATAACAACAGACAACGTTTTAGAAGGACGAATTCAAGTACCTTTTCCCACACAGGTAAGCTGGGTTTTCTAAGCATGACAACTGGATTCTGTCTTCACAACGATTTAATCAGTCTAGATTCACTGTTCAAATTGCTTACCAACTGAGTATCAGTTATGATTTGATGAAAGGTTTTCTGCAAGCTCCATAACTTTCCCCAGACCCACCAAGGATACTCAGATTAAAACAAGGACAGATATATTTGGGTAATTTTTTGTGCAGATAATTAAAAACCACCTTAAACCAGCCTGCCCTTGCCAGTCCGGGAGGTCACAGCATCACTTCCTCTTTCTATAAAAGGCAGTCTTTTCGACTTTTTAGACCACATGGTCTCTGTTCACTTTCTCACCTCTGCTGTTAGAGCACTAAAGGAGTCACGGATGGCATGTAAATGAATGAGCATGACTGGGCTTCAGGAAAAACTTTATTTACCAAAACATGTAACAGACTGGATTTGGCCTGTCGTTTGCTGACCCATGGATAATGCCCTGTGTCCCTAGTAGACTTGGCACATTGGTATTGTTTTCTGTTAGGTACAATTCACAGCTGTCTATCACCTAACATCTTTGGGGTAGAAGAAGTGTTAACATATTAAAGACAAGGCTTTCTGGCAGGACCAAGGAATATATACATAAATACGCGCGCGCGCACACACACACACACACACAGAAAATAATTTATCAAAAAGATATTCAACTTCAGGAAAGGCACACACACACACACACACACACACACACACACACACAGAAAATAATTTATCAAAAAGATATTCAACTTCAGGAAAGGAAAATATTTGGAAATCTATTGATAAAATCTTAAAACTTGAGACCCTCTGAAGAGGGAAAGAGCATAGGCTTCGGACTCGAGTGGGTTGGGGCTTTAGATGTGAGTCACCAGTTCTCAGCTATGTTACCTGGCAGTCCAGTTGGATTCCCCAGAAGCAGACCTGAGACAAGAATTCAAATGTAAATAGTTTATTTGGAAGGTGATCCCAGAAAACACTGGCTGGGGTGTGGATATGAGACAGAGAAGGGAAGGCGGTCAGTAAAGGGTTTGTTACCCAGCAGAGTCCACGGGGTGACTGAAGCTTCATCCCACTGGGAGCTAGAGTGGGAGCGATGGCAGGACACTTTATCCCTCCTGAGGGGCTGGGGCCTGGGCTGTGTGTTTATACACCAATTCCCATCAGTCATTGGTTGAGGGCTCTTCCTGGGGTGGCAGAACCAGCTCATGCAGGCAGACAAAAGTCCTCAGGTAATGAAATATGAGAACTGGCCAGTAAGCACTGAGGTGGTAAGACCTGGGGGGTTATGGGCAGGGCCCCAAAGCACCTGCAGCATTGGCCAAGATCTGGAACTGGCTAACAATGAGAACAACTGTATCTATTTTATAGCATGTTTAGAAGATAAATGAGAGAATCACGGTAAGGGCTTACCTTGGTGCCAGGCGCGAAGTAAGTGTTCAGTCAGTGGTACCTGCCGTTGTCAATATTGTTACATGATTACTATCATGGAAAGGGAAACTCAGTGTGGAGGCAGTTGCTAAGTCAAACATGGTAGTCTCATTTCTGCCTTAGGCTTCTTTGCCATACCTTTAATCTTTGGAGCCTTGTATTTCTTTGATGCTGTAGCTTTGGGGACCATACCTCCTTCTGTGCTCTCGGATTTCATCTGTGTCATTTAATCTGTGAATGATTCTGTACTGTTTACGGCACTGTTTCTCTTTCAGCGGTCAGATAGCATTAGACCTGCATTGAACAGTCCTGTGGAAAGGCCAAACAGTGACCAGGAGGAGGGAGAAGCTTCTACTCAGGTAAAGTCAGCACACCAGAAGAGACTAAGGGATTGTGGGAGAGGAGCATAGTACTTGGCAGTGGTCTTCTTCAGTTGCTCCCTTTTCATTGTGAGGCTTAGGGCAAGAGCACAGAGGAAGTTAAAGTTCATACATCCAGCTGTGCCCGTGGTCTGCCTGTGTTTCCCCCCAGGGCCTGTAGCCCAGTCCCTGGCTATCACTCTTATGTCCTGGAGAGGGAGGGAGGGAGTCAGGCTGTTCAGCCTGCCATCTTGAGCTTCAGTGGTACATTAGGAAGGGCAGGACAAATCTGGGCCTTGGCCCAGGACGCTGGGCTGACTGGGCCCATCCAAACCCAGATGGGGACTGACAAGGACAAGCTCTCCAGGAGCTGAGGCCATCGGGTTAGTCTCCCCCACACCTTACATTTTCAACTCAAAAATGAGGCGTCTCTGAGCAGGGAGGCAGAGGAAGGAGCGTGGTTATCTTGGGAAAGCAGATCTGCTTTGGGTGATTTTTTGTGGCTGTGCTTAACCAAAAGCAGCGCCTCTGTCTCTGGTCTCCCAGGGCAGAAGCACACACCCCCATGCTCTTAGCCCCATGTCCTAGGCGTCTAGCTGGTGGCCCTCTCTGAAATTCCCGTTTGTGTTTCTGATACGTGGGGCTTCCCGGATGCAGGGCCCAGGTCTGAGGGTGGCACTGCCTTTGTTAGCATGGGCCTAGCCTCTTCGTGAAGCGGAGACTTGCTAAGTGACTTGAGGGCTGCTTTCACCTCATATTTTTCCTGCAAGTAGAGAACAATAAAAACTGCTAGGCTTTTTCAAATCTGTTACTGAGTTAAATGTTTTGTATTCAAATGCATAATGGATTGTGCATCATTTGAAAAATGGTGCCTGGCTTCTGAAGAAGGGGTTCAGTTTTATGTTTTCAGTGTCAGTTAATAAAAGCCTTAGTCACATCACTTCTACTCTCCATTTAATTCAGAGTTTCTCCCTGCCCCAGCTCAGGCCTTTATCAGGCTTAGAAGCCTTCAGTGGAGCAGGGCTCAGGCGGGCTTCTATTTTCTTCAATCTCTTCATCCATTCACTAGCTGTTTTTCTAACCCCCTTAATCTCCTCTAAGGTCAAGTTCAGGGGAGTAGGGGTTAGGATGGGGTATGACCCCAGCACGCATAGATAGATATATCGTTGTTACCTTAGAGATCTCCCTGCCCCATCTAGCATCAGAGACCTTGGCTATACTTCCTTTGAACTTGGGCTGGCTACTTATGACCACCCCTGCCTCCATGAGGGTCGTAACACCCTTCCATGTGGTCCCCTTGGGCCAAGTCCATTGCCCAGCCTCAGGCTGGTTCTTTCCTGAGGGACCGACATCTGATCTTGGGACACATACACAACATTGTCTTATAGGCAATGGAAGTACAACCCTCTCTTCTCTTTTTATTTGCTTCAGCCAATTTCTGTCTTCTAGATTTCTCAGGTGTGTGTCAGTCATCAGTCCCTGAGTGCCTCAAACTCCAGGGAATGTGAGTCAGGCTCTCCATATGGTTCTCCTGAAGTCCCCTTTCTCACCTGGCTGAAGGCAGGAAGAGGTAGCGAGGGTTGGTGAGGGAAAAGCATGGCACGCCTGGAGCTCTTAAAAATAGGCCTGTCTCTCCTCCTGTTCCACCTCAGCTCTGTCACTGCCTGGAGGTGGGCGATGGGCTGACACTGGCCAGCCTGGTTCTGCAGTCTTGTAACATGAGTGATGTAGATGGTCGGACACCAGCTTAAGGATGTGCCTTTGAAGCTTCATCCAAAACCGAGAAAGAGGCCCATTTTAATATCGTGTTACACAAGGACCGACCCACATGATCTGTTTAGAAAAAAAGACCCTTAGAGATTACACTTTTTATCCACTTGACTGTTTTTAGAGTCAGGTAGGGATATAAAACTTGTACAGTCCATGTGCTGAGACATGTGATTCAAATTTTTGAGCAATTAGTAGAATTGAACAGAAGATCCCGAATGCAGACAAGCAGTTAACTTTGTTACCAGTTTCCGAGAGTACAATTTTGAGGTGCTTATGTTTTTCATACTGGTAATCATTTGCTTACTGCATTAATATTGAACATCTAGTGTGAGTCAGGCCCTGTTCCTAGTGGTACGTGAGCCAGCTACAGTGTACCTGCCCTTAAAAAAATCTACATCTACCATCACACACATGCATTTAGTTCCCTCTTCCCTGCCTCTTTGCCTGGCAGCATCCTCCCTACGGGTCCAGAAAGCATTGTTTAGGGGTGCTCTGGCCAGGCAAGCAATCTTCAAAGGCAGCCCGTGCTCACACCTGCCTCTGTGCTTCCTCCCTGTGTCCAGACTGAGCGCGTGCCGCTGGATCTCAGTCCTCGGCTGGAGGAGGCATTGGACTTCAGCGAGGTAGAAGTGGAGCCCAGTGAGGTAGAAGACTTTGAGGCTCGGGGGAGCCGCTTCTCCAAGTCTGCCGACGAGAGACAGCGCATGCTAGTCCAACGCAAGGATGACCTCCTGCAGCAAGCTCGGAAGTAAGTTGACTCTGCAGCTCTAGTGGGCATATATCACAGGTCAGAAACCACTGCCTGAAGGCCTTTGTCACGTAGGGCCCACATAGTGTCTTTTTAAACAGACGTTGCAGAACCATTACATATCACTTAAAAATTCAGAGCACAAGCCTGTCTTGAGAAAGCACAGGATCTGGCAACACTGCGCGTAACTGGTATCATTGGGCTGGTGCTGTCAGTGATAGCCAGCGTCTTCACCGGTGGACGTCTGCACCCACACTTCTGTGCCAGCATGTTCTAAGCCCTTATATTCATTTAATTCTCTGAACAAGAGGAAGCACTGTTGTTATACCCATTGGAAAGACTTGTAGCCTGAGGATGCTGAGGCCTAGAGAGGTTAGCACTTGCCTGAGGTCTGGCTCCCAAGTCCTCCCTCTCGACCACTCTGCTGCTCCGCCCAGCAATGGGAACATGGTCTTCACGTCTCCCTGCCACATGTCACCTTCTCTACCCCATGGCTGGATGCAGAGGAGAGGGTACTGTTCCTGTGGAGAGGTGTAGGGGTTTTTGTTTGTTTTCGTTTAAACTCTTGAAGACAGGGTCAGTATTGTATTTATTCTGGTGGGTCCATGTTGAGCACAGACCTTGAGACTGTGAGGCCTTCATGTTTTCCATGGGGAAGGGATGGACAGAGGACCAGCCATGTAATTGGGCCTCTCCCTGGTACAAAGAGAACTTCTGCTCATCTCTTTGGGGAGAGATGGTCTTTTCCATGAGATGGTGCTGAATGACAGCTTCTTGAAGGTGTCTGGAAAATGGACAAATTCAAAATAATTAAAGAAACACTGTTGTGTGTTCCAGAACTTCCCATATCTCTGATGCAACTCCTTTGTGTTATGTAGGCGTTTCTTAAACAAAAGTTCTGAACATGACTCAGCCTCAGAGAGCTACCTCCCCTCGGAAGGCACGTCCTCTGACCCTGTGACGCTCCGTCGAAGGATGTTGGCTGCTGCTGCCGAACGGAGACTTCAGAAGCAGCAGACCTCCTAGCGTCGCCTCGCCTTCCTCAGCCTCCTCCTGAGCGTGTGCCCGAGAGGAAGAGGCCTCCCCAGTTCTGCCTGCTGTGTGAAGAAGTGGGCTTGACTGCATTGCCGCTGTATAAAGCATGTGGTCTTAATAGTGTTTGGACAGCTGACAAAGTTAAACCTTTTTGTAATACTTTCTATGTGACATTTCTCCTCCCTTAGAAACACTGCACATTTTAACTCTAGGCATGATCTCTTCTGGTGTTGACTGGACTTCTTGGGGATGGGGGGAGGTTGAGAGGGCGTGGGCAACCAGAGACCTGCAGCAGGTAGCTTTGATTACTGCTTTGTGCATAAGTCACAAAAACCGCTGGTGTTGCCAGCCTCAAGTCTGGTGGGTGGGGAGATGCAGCAGCAGTCTGGAGAACATGTTGAGCCTGAGCCTGATCTACACCCATCAGTGACCTCTGGTGTCAAACTGCTATTCTTACTGCCAGGCATTCAAGATATTATGGAGGCCAGACCCGCAGGCTCCTGGGCCCCGGGGCAGGCAGGGCGTCTTGAGAAGGTGTTCTTGGTTGATCCCTGGCGCAGAGGAGGGGAAAGTCTAGTGCTGTCCAGCAGAGGAAGGGCCCTCTGTGTGTCGCAGAGGTCCAGGACTGACTTTCTGAGGAAGTAAATCAAAGCTGGCTTTATTTCTGTTCACTCTGGTGCTCCCGCATCTCGGGATCCACAGAGTTGGCCCTTTGTATATCTCCTCTCATTGGCCCCTCTGGGCACAGGGAAAGCCAGTGCTGAAAGGACTAGGCAGCAAGCTTTGATTTGTGGTTTTAATTCCTTGGTCAAGTAGGCAGTTCAGTGTGTGGATTTGATCCTTAGAGAGGATTTGGGCCTTGCAAGATGGGGGAGTAAATTGTGGAGGGCTTTATTGAAGAAATAAAAGATACTGTATCTTTTTTTCCTTCAAGCCCTTCATTTTCATAACTTTGTTCCTGTTGGTTTAATTAAACAGAAAGGTTAAGACATTGAATCCACCTGCCTTGGATGCAGACCCAGTTTCCAGACCTTTCAGATTCTTCATACATTTAACTTTAAAGATTTGGAACACACCATCATAGGTTACACAGTTCAGTTTTATGTCCCATTGGATGAAATTTTTTTAATGTTTGAAAGCATAATTTTATGGTAGTCCTTTTGAGAAGAATCCAGTATTATCTAAAATTATTGGCAAAGTTAAATGTATTTTCCATAACTGCCAGTTTTTAGAATGTTTAATTGAGAAAAGGGTGATGAGTAAATATTTAGGCATAGATAATTTATTTCAATAAATCTTTCAAAAGCCTTACCTTGAAATGCTGTTAGTAAATTTCTGTGATTTTTTTTTTTAATTTGTTTTGTTTTGCTAAGAACATAGCTGTTTGTTTCTGTTTTTATTGTAAAACAATAATAATAATAAAAAGCAAACTCTTCTAGTGTGTTGTATGTGGCTGGAAGCTAAGGCAGCTCCTTTTTAGAGGTGTCTGTGTTGACTCTCATTTTGGTTTTGCGTGGACCATTGTGGCTGAAAGTTTGTTTCCATCCTTTTGAATTGGGAAGTTTTATTTTTCCTAGTATTTATTTGGAGAAGACATAACTGAATTTTTATTCCCTTCCTGTTTATCTCATTTTTCCAAGGTAAGTAGGGAGAGAAAAGTTATTTTACTTTCTTTGAATTGTTATAACTTTCTTTGATTTGCATGTCGCAAACATTAAGGATGACACAAATTCCACGTTTGTATGTTCCAGATATGTAGAAAAAATTGTACAGAGTCAATTTTAGACGGTCTTGAGACATCGAAATACAGCAGTATGACTGTGGCCAAAGCAGGAGAAATGTCTTAAGTAGCTTAAAATGAAACTCATCCCTAGACTTTGCACCTGGATAGGGGATTCTGGGCGTTTTGCTTTCTTTTGGCTTTTGTCACTTCCTGGAGCTGTCCAGGACAGATGCTAAGGGCACTAGCAGGAGCTCAGCTGGCTTCCTGTTACATGGAGTAGGTTCCCCTCCCCTGGACTCCCTTCACCACCCTGCATATCTGCAGGGATCGGAAGCTCCTCAGCCCCTGTTGTAACTGAGCTGAGGCCTGGCTGTTCAAGTTTGTAAACAGGAAATAAGGAGTCGTGGGCAATCTGGCGAATGGTGCCCTTGCCCCCTCTGGGGTCTTTGGAACTAGTCTGTTACTCCATTTTCTTATTGGCCCTGTTTTGTTGACATCTTGTGTTCTCAGTCTCCTCCCCCCCACCCCCCAAATTTTGAGGCTTTTGTACAAGTACCACAGAGGGTGCTGGTCCACGTGGATGTATTACTTGTGTTGGTATAGGTCCTGTGTGTTCAGGCGGCCACTTGGACCTGATTCCCACTTGAGCTGTGCAGACAATGTGTGCCTTTACCTTTCGCCAGCAGACTTGATCCTCTGGTGTGAAAGGAAAAGAATCAGAGCTCTGTGAAAGCAGGACACAGCGTGGGCAAGGGAACCGTGACGTGACTGGTGAGCTCGTCCAGTAACAACCAGGGCTGACCTGGCTGAGAAGGCCCTCCATTATCTGAAACCTCATCTCGTTGCCCATACTTTTTGTTTGGTTAGCGTAGTCTTGAACCTGGCTGCACGTCAGAGTCACGTGGAACTTTGAAAAAATGTGATGTATAGTTTCTGCCCCCCCACCCTCCTGCTTCTAATTTAATTGGTATTTCCCCTGGATCCTTTCCAAAAAATTCCTCCTAACCTGCCTTTTAAGAAAGATAGGACAAAGATACTCCTGTTGGCTTTATCGGCAAACGCACTTGAAAGTTGGGGAAGAACCCTGTTAGACTAAGGCTTGTTTTAGAGAAATTCAATGACACCACGTGTAGAAAGTGTCCTTCAGCTCTCCATCTGGATCTTGGCTTGTCCCCCAAGACCAGTGTCAGGAAGTCGAGTTGTGGTCAGGAGTGCAAACCTTTCCATCAGTTGGTGGTTAGTTGTGTGCCTCCACTTGCAGATAACAAGTGGGGGTGGGGGGCGCGGTGGTAGGGAAAGCACTGGAAAAGAGACATGGCCTGGGTTGCACAGAGGTCCAGGGAGGGCCTGGATTGGTTGGCATGGGTGTTTGTGACAGGAGAGAACTAACGTTTATTATTCCATAGTCTCTGAGGTAACAATACCTGTCCCTACCCCCACTGGATTAAAAAACTTCGGAACTTGTGAAGGAGAGGCCTGAACAAGGATGTCCCGTTTGTTGGGAGTGTGGAGAGGATTTCCAATTAACTGAGCTCTTGAGGAATCTTTCACCTCAAGATGGCATGGGGTAGCACTTGGCTGCTTGGCTAATGAGGGGCACATGGATATGATTGCAAGCATTTTTGTGGCCTGCTGTTCCCTCTAGGTCCCAGACTCAACTGAGGGCTAGTTATTACAGCAGAAACCTGGCTATCCAGGGGACAGCTCGTGATACCCACAGCCTGGAAAAGACAGAAATTGGAACTCCATGAGCCAGGCTGGCCCATCTCAGTTATCCCTTGTGTTTTTGGTCTGCAGGGGGCTTCCTGGCATCCAGGTGCAGTAAAACCAAAAACCAAACCTGTTGGCGTCAAGTCGATTCTGACTCAGCAACCCGGTAGGACAGAGTAGAACTGCCCGGTAGGGTTTCCAAGGAGTACCTGATGGATTTGAACTGCTGACCTTTCGGTTAGCAGCCATAGCTCTTAGCCATTACGCCACCAGTGTTTCCTCCAGGTGCAGTAGGGGAGGCAAAGCAGAAGGAAACCTTCTTGGCCACATGGGCCCTGAGTTTATCCTTGGGTTTTAAAGATGCCCAGAATGAGGGGATGTAACCCCTTGGGTGCACAGGGCCCAGGCAATTTGTTTGGCCTCATTCTTGGGACCACCCGTTCTCTGACTGTAGGGGACCACTGGTTACAGAAGAAACAGGACCCTGTATTAAGTAGATTTTGGGCTACCAGCCCCTCCCTACCCTACCCTAAAAAACAATCAGCTGAGGATGAGGAGAGCTGGGAGCCAGGAGGAAGAAGGCACTCTGAGCAGGAAGTAGCCCACTCCTCTGCCCTCCTTGTTCTCATCTTGGCATTGGGCCACTGTCCCACTGACTGCTCAGAGCTAGCTGCTTGTCTCCTGCCCCCTCACAGCACTGAGTGGGGACGTGGAGAAGGGATTCTGTGGGGGATTCCTCACTCAGCCCTTAGAACCTGCCTACTAGCCTCCCAGTATCTGTGGTCGAGTCAGATCCCTCCTTCCCTCTCCTGCTCGAGTGATGCCCCGCCAGATAACCGTCGTCTGGAAGCCAGAGGGTGAGAGACTTGAGAATACAGACAAACATTCTCTTTATTGAGCTACACATGAATTTTCCATTAGAGAAGTAGACTGGCAGTGTGTAAGATATCACAGAAACCTCACCAATTGGGAATAGAAAGGCTTAGAAAGACCCATGGGCTTTTTTTTTTTTTTTT